AGGCTCCGGACGCGCAGGCTCAGCGGCCATGGCTCACGGGCCCAGCAGCTCCGCGGCATGTGGGATCTTCCCGGACCGGGGCATGAACCTGCGTCCCCTGCATCGGCAGGCGGACTCTCAACCACTGCGCCACCAGGGAAGCCCAGAAATACACATTTTTTAGAGACAAAAATCTCACTGAGGTATCTTTAAAATATATTAATCTGGCTAATTTGCTTTGTTTCCCACTTTCTGAATCTATAATTAAATGTAGATTTCGAAAAATGATTAAAAGCTATCATATCTTTTATCCTGAAATTGTGTAGGCCATAAAAATTAAGCAGAATTTGGCTAATATCAAGCAATTTTATCCTTCACAAATAGTACAATTAAAGCCTCTATTCTAAAATTTCAAGAAATTATTACAAGACAATATTTAGCTCCTTCCAAACCAAGCAATTTTAGTTGCTTTTAACCATTTTTCCCTAACATACGAGTCCATGGTTATTATATTATGTGATTCGAATCTCCTGTACAGCAATACATTTAACTAGATACTTAAGGCATGTTCGAGATTTGCTACCCCTTTCTGGAAGAGCTGATTATTTTCTATGAGGCTGAAAAAGATGTTACATTACAGTCAGTTGCTTTAGATGACTGATAGATTAACTACCCAAGCAAGAAGTGTAAATGGAAATAATTGGGTGTCTCTTTCCTTATAACTTAATCTTATAACTCCTATGTAGATAGTGTCATCTGAGTGCAGATTGAAGGTAAACTTGTTAAAGTCTCTGAGACTCAGGGTTGTACACTATTTTTATTCTCCAGTTCATTTCTAAATATAATAATTTAAGAGTTTTACTATCAGTTCCTTAATATAAAAAGGGAAAATCTGAAGGAGTTTAATGGGGCAATGTAAGCAGTGAAAAGATGACACTGTGAAAATTAAAATATTTCAAGGGTCATGGATTTAAAAGATTTGTAAGTATTCTCCATCAAACTTTCCAGCTTTTTCTTTTCTTTTTTTTTTTTTAGCCTGCTCCATGGAATTTGGGGATCATGTTGAAGATTATAGATTCAAACTTCTCTGTAATGATGCCAGGAAATACAAGAACTGAACATTTCCAGATAACCCACTGGCAATTCCAATACCCATGCATAAAAGCCTCATTTACTTTTTTTAAAGTGGCCTTTCACACAATCTGAATAAGTATCCAAAGTATCATCATTGTAATTCACATAATATATCTTTGCAAAGAGTCCTGAAAAGTCAGCACAAAACACACTACCAACCAGGCCATTTGGACCAGAAACCATATGCTCAAGTACACCATGAAAAACAGTATTTCAGATAGGGCAGATGCTTGGCAAAGCCTTAGGTCAACAGCTGAGCCCTGCTTCATCCAGGAAACACCAGCTGGGTGACAGTCGGCATCCTTCCAGGGGCAATGGTCCCCATTGGGCCATCAGAGAATGGAAAGAGTTTGGGCCCCCTATAGTTCAGTCATCCATGCAGACACACATTGTGAGCAAAATGTGTGAGTGAATGCGCCCAGCCTGATATTCCCAATGTCTTGTTCTTCGGTGTCCTTTAAGATGACCCATTGCCACAGCCCATTTTGCAGATTGCTGGTCACTTAGACTTTATCTTTGTTTTTAATGACACAATATTCAGTTTTCAAAACTATAAGAAGTTGTACTCTGTGTCTCTTTTGACCTTAGACAACGTAAAGCTATTTCCTTCATAACCTTCTTAAAAGAGCCTTAATGGAATTTTGAATTCTTTTCTATTGTAAAAATTCTTAGGTTTTTGTCAAAAGATATTTGAAATACCACAGGAAATGATGTACTCACATCCCTCACCACCACCTCCAAATAACTGAATTACATAAATAAAACATTACATAGAAAGTGCTTTGCTACAATTTAGGGGACGTAAATTTAACAAGAGCTGGCTCATTGTAGGAAAATTCAACTTACCTTTTCTTGACCCTTTTATTCTATACAGGGAAAGAAATTTATGTCAGTTAAAAAAAAAAATCTATTCCTGCTTCTCGTAACTGAATTCATTATTTTTCTCTGTGATCCATCAGGTGAAAACAAGAATAATAGATTGCTTTGACAGCAACTTGAACATAAATGTCTCCAAGAATCAAATGTGGTAAGTCAAACAGGTTTCAGGTAGTATAAAAACAAGAAAGGATAACCTTCTTTTTACATTTCAAAATCAGATCTTACTAAAAAATTTATTGTTATTAGCTGCTACAAAAAAAAGTAAATTATATAGTAGTTGAATTTTCACAATGAAATTGGAATATTTTAATTCATTTCTGTATATGTTCAAGCAGGATTGAACTCCAAAAAATAAACTCAAAGAAAATGAGCTATTTTCTTTTAATTTTTAATAACTGGTTATTTATAATTTGCTCTTTGCATTAGATTCTATGACTTTAAATAAATAATTGAATTTGTCCTATACATAGTCAACTAATTAGAAAGATTAGTGTTGACCTTCCCTTACAAACATTTGCTGTTCATAAAGGAATCAAGGGGCTCTATAATTGTTAGCTCCATATGACCCATTTTAGTTTCAAAAAAGTTTAAGTGTATATACACATACATACACCTATTTTATATGTACAGTATAAATACTTCATCTCAGGGGACTTTCTCCTTAATGGACACCTACCCAGGATCCAATCTTCTCTGATTTTATTCAGATAAGCCAGTTTCCCAACCTGTCTCCAGAAAAGGTAACTATATTCCCAGCTTCAGTGTGGCAGAATTTATTCTCAGCCAGCACATAAGAGTCTATTATTGGTCTAGGGTTAGGCACATGACCCCCAGTTTGCCTGAACAGAAAAAGAATGATTTTTTTTTTTTTTTGCAGTACGCGGGCCTCTCACTGTTGTGGCCTCTCCCTTTGCGGAGCACAGGCTCCAGACGCGCAGGCTCAGCGGCCATGGCTCACAGGCCTAGCCGCTCCACAGCATGTGGGATCTTCCCGGACCGGGGCACGAACCCGTGTCCCCTGCATTGGCAGGCGGACTCTCAACCACTGCACCACCAGGAAAGCCTGAAAAAGAATGATTTTTATGTAAGCTGAAAATGCAAAGAGAGAGGCTTCCCATTTTCTCCTGCTGGGTGAAGAGAAGAGGGAACCCCAGTTGGTTTTGAGAGCCACCTATGACCATAGGAATGAGGACAATGCTGATGGCAGAGGGAATGTTGGGAAACGACTTGGGTCTTTGTTAACGTCATTGAATTATTAATGGTATTGTGCATTGAGTCCTCTCTATCTTGTTAAATAACAAAAATTCAACTGAGTAAATTTAAAGATCAAGTTGGCTTTATTCAGTGATTCGTGAATTGGGCAGCATCCCATTTAACAAATAGGAAGGAGCTTGGCCATGCTGTAGAAAAGCAAGGGTTTTTAAAAGCAGAAAGGGGGTGGGAAAAGAACGTCATTAGCAAAGAATGCATCGTTTCTGACGAGGTCGCCCTCCTGCCCTCCTGAGTGGGATGGAAGGGGTCTATCATGCTGGCCAGGTAATTCCAGGTTGACTGGTTAAAGATTACATTTCTGGGAAATGCTGAAACTGCAATTAGTTTAAGTATTAAGTCTTGGTTTGCTGATATGGGGCTTAGCACAAGTGACTCCATTTGGGGCCTGCTGTCTCCTTTTTAACACCTTCTGTCTTCCAGTTACAGAGTATACAGATTTACTTAGTGCTTAATCTACTTTGTGTTGGGGTTTCCGTAACCACTTAAGAATGCTCTTCTTCTCCTTTAAAGAAAGATGAAAGAAGATACTCAAAATATTCTTAATATACTCAAAATTTTCTTATGAATTTTTTCATTCCTATTGCTTTACATTAGAAGATCTTTGAATATATATTTGATTTTGAAACCCCCTTTGAGAGCTCTCCCTAATCATCTAATGAGGCACAGAACTTGATACATCCATTGCTTAAGAAGAAATAACATTCTTACAAAGGTTAATGAAAACTTAAGATGAGTAAAAACCCTCTTGTCCTATCAGACAAAAAATACAGTTTCATAACCAACGTTATGAAACCTTATTATTCCTTATTCCTACTCTTTAGATCTGAAACAGAGTTTGGCCTGTTTTGTAGCCTATATAGCAAAGGTACCTTTTTTAAATTATTCAGAAATCCCAGGCCTTAGCAATCCTATTGCTCTCCTCTCATTTTCCTAAACTATTTTGGTACTTATTTCTCAGATCTGGCAGGCCATTAGATGTTTCTTGCATATTTCCAAGATAATAACTCATCAGCTTTGCAAGCTGATTCTTAGCATTAAGAGATTAAAACTAATGTAGATGAATCTCAGATGACACATACCGAGGTAGAGAAAAATTCCATCATTTCCTCCTACAAAATTAGAGAGATTTTAATTCTTTTTCTCAACAGCTGCTTCATTTTTTTATGCATAGGAAAAAAATATGTGCAATTACTCCAAGTACAATCAAGTCATTTAACATGTCTTTGCCATCATTGTAGTTACAGGATATTTTAAAAGAGAAAAAAAAATCTCAAAGCACAGGTCCTGCTGTGCAGAAAAGCAATCAAATTCCTTCATAATAACAGCCTGATGGGATTCAGCAATCCCAGGAATAATGAATAACCACCTTAATCAGTAAACAGGAAAATGCTACAACAGTCACTGAGTAAAAATTCGCTATCATCTGTTGATCCTCTTGAACAGCATTTCAAACAATAAATAGAAATGTGTCTCTTTTAAGAAGAAAAATATCTTTGTTTAGTGCATTTGACTTTGCCAGGCAGTGGGGAGATGATATTTCATCTTAGACTGTCCTGCAGTATTGCCCAGTTGATAAAATACACATATCATCTTTATTGTATTATATGGCCAAATTTACCTTATCCCTTGAATATGTCAAGATAAATTCATTTTTACAGTTGGTTAATATGATTGTATTTCTGAACTGATTATTGAACTCTGTTACTACTTCATTATTTGATGTTCTTCAGTGTTCATCATGCAAAGTTATTTGTATCTGAATATGAAGAGTCTGTTTCAAAATAATCCTCAAATTTCCAATGCAGTGTCTCAAATGTTGGCCGGTCCTTAGGCTCTGCATTCCAGCACTCCAACATGATGTTGTAGAATTGCAATGGACAGTTAGATGGTTGAGGGAGTCTATAGTTTTGACCCAACATCTGGATTACCTGAGCACCTGTCATACCTAAAAAATATAAAATGGAACCAACAAAAAACAAGTTGGAAATCAGAGTCTTAAATTCATAGATACTGACACTCTAGAGGACAAAGCAAATTGACTTCCCCGGAGAAACTATGAAGTCTACCATCCCCTTCCCAGGCGCAGAGACTAAACTAAATCCTACAGCAAGTCATGTCTGTAAGACTGCAATTCAAGAGCAAAGGAGGAGGAGGCAATAAACCACCTCATTAAGGCAAATCATCATCATCAAATTTTATCTGTTATGCTCCCACAGGCACATGGTGTGGTCAGCCTCATAACTCTGCCCTCTAAGTCTGGGCAAAGCAGCTAAAGTCACACCTAAGTAAGTGACCTGCAGCAGAAAGGCCCACTTCAGAATTAATTACTCACCACTATAAGGCATTTTGCCATAAGTAATGATTTCATAAAGAAGGATTCCAAATGACCACACATCAGACTTAATGCTGAATTTATTAGTACGAATGGCTTCAGGCGCAGTCCACTTCACCGGCAGCTTTATTTCGTGTTTAGATTCGTAGATGTCTTCATTATCTACCTGTTAATGCATTAAGGAATCCGGCTAGGTTAAAGTGGGGGTTTTTTTGGTCACCCTCATTCATCTGTAACTTGCTTTGCATTAAAATTTAGAGGGACAAGATTCAAAATGAGTTTAATTCAAATGATAATTACAGTAGCAAATTCCAAATCTGACACACGAGACTGAATAATCTGTGGGAATTCATTAATGAAATATTATTTGAGAGCCTACTATGTGCTAAAAGTAGCACTGGAAGGAGCACTGTAATACATATGGGAAATTCATCTGTGATAACACTGGCTTTACACCTGGTCTTTAGCAAATATAGAAAGTGAAAGCAAAGCCTGTTTTCTGATTTACTGCTGGTATTGAAGAGCCACTGACATTGATAATTACCATGTAACCATTTTCTAATACTGAAAAGTAGGGTCCAAATGATTTAAATTAATATATCAACTCACTGGGGATCTAATTAATTTACAAAGAGAAAAGATGATAAATTCATAAAGATCAAAAGAGAATCATTTACTTGTGTTTCATGTCCCACACTCTTTTTTTTTAATTTATTTTTTTTATTTATTTATTTTTTTTGCAGTACGCGGGCCTCTCACTGTTGTGGCCTCTCCCGTTGCGGAGCACAGGCTCCGGACACGCAGGCTCAGCAGCCATGGCTCACGGGCCTAGCTGCTCCGCGGCGTGGGCATGTGGGATCTTCCTGGACCAGGGTATGAACCCGTGTCGCCTGCATCGGCAGGCGGACTCTCAACCACTGCACCACCAGGGAAGCACCCCCACACTCATATTTGTATGATACAATGTAGAAATAAAAAACTAAATTCAGGAAAAAAACACCTAATATTACATCTCCTATATTAGTGTCTTTTGGCCTAATGTCATAAAATGGGAGCGGGGGTGGCAGGATTTTAAAAGCCAAGGTTTGCTGAAGAATTTTGGCAGCATGCCTGGCAGCATGCATATTAGTCTGGCATAAAGTGAGCAAAAATGGATAGGGTAACTGTACAAAGTGTGCTGCCTTTTTTAAGGGAAATAGAGGCAGACAAACAGAGGCTACTGGTACTAAAAAACTGATCATTTATTCAACTGCAAACTTAATTACATACTTTCCCATCTGGTTGATCATTGTTTTTTTCTGTTTCTTTCTCTTTGGTGAAGAAATAGAAATAGGAAGTAGTTTGTCTGTAGAGCCCTGGGATTCTGAAATGGTCTATGGACCAACAGAACTTGGAGAAATATGTCGAAAAATAACAGTAAATCTATTAGTATACTGGTCTAGCCTTTTGACCCATTACTAACTAATTAAAACAAAGCCAAATCTACCTTAAAAACTCTTGCAAGTCCAAAATCTGCCACTTTGTAGATACTATGTTCACCAACAAGGACATTTCTGGCAGCCAGATCTCTATGGATGTAGTTCTGGGACTCCAGATAGGCCATTCCAGAAGCAACCTGGGCTGCCATGTCTACCTGCTGCATCAGATGGATTTTTGATCCAGCATCATCTAGGTAAAAAGAGAAAATAAGAGATTCACTTTGGAGAACATTTGAACTATTGAAGCAAATTCTAAGAATTTTGATGAATGAGCTATCAGTGGGATTAAGTGCCATAGCACTGAGTGAAAATAAATATAACAAGTACAAACTGTTCCATTTCCTGTGAAGGGTTAATGAGGCAACAAGTTTCAGAGCTCAAACACATTTCAAAGCTGAGGCCGTCCCTTCGCTAAATGAGCATTATTGGGAGAAAGGAGCAACAGTACCACATGATCCAAACACAGCTATAAATATCCGAAAGAGTCCAGGTATTGACATTTTTAATACCACACATCACTGACTCATCTCTTCATGGAAACTGTTACTTGGTTGCCTCTGGATTTCTTTGAAACATTTCTTAGTTGTTTCAGTCTTTAAACCTAAAAATAATACTAATTTGCATGGCTGAACCAATGAAAAGTTCTCATTCTTCCATCACATTGTTCTTAAAAACTAGCTCACAAAATAATGAAGGCTCTATATATGTTACATAGTTATAAGCTGAGTATATTACATTTGTACTCCATTAAGCTTGATGCCTGCATTACATTTTCCTTTCTTAGCCTGTTATTCTTAGAATAGGTTGCTCATCTCTCTATGAAGAGAAGGTATAGGCATGATACACCTTTCGTAGACATAGTTTCTCCTCCTGCTGATTCTATATAACTAAGCATAGGAAATGTATGTAGTAGAGTCAGTTTGATCATTACTAGAGAGATTAGTGTTATTTTGTGGTGACTTTGTGAAATGGGGTCAGCCATCCCTGGATAAGTGTTTAGCCGCCATACTGTTAGTAGAGGTCTTCAAATTTCTGGAGAACTGAAAAGGTCTCATATAAATCCAAATTATCATTATCCCTATCTGAATAAGCCAAATATTACCATAAATGCATTGAATTTATGGTCAAGAGTCCCAGACACAATTCCTGACTTGAGCAACTACAGTACAGGAGTGAGGAAGATTGGTTTGAAGCTAAAGTGCCAGAATTTGAATCAGGGCTCTGCCTTACACTTCTTCCTGTGTCTCAGTTTCTCCATATATACAGCAATAATTATCATAACCTTGTGGTATTATTTGTTAAAATGAGATAATACATGTAAAGCACTTAAAACAGTACCTGGCACCTAGGAAGAACTTAGTAAAGCCTACCTGTTCTTATTATCTATCATTGCTGCTGCCTGATCAGAATTAAACAGTTTAAGATTTGTTAAGCTAGAGATGCATATGGATTACCCAAGAGGAAATGTCTAAAAGAAGACAAGCATATGGTTCTGAAGCTCAGAGGAAAGCATGCAGCTAGAAATATGGATTTAACAGTCATTGTCTAGGAGCAAGAGTTAAACATTAAAAGTGGGTGAGATTGCTAGAAAGTGATAGAATCATGAGAAATGCCAACACTTACAGTGGGCATATAAAAATAAACCTGCAAGAAAACTGAGAGGAATCAGCCTAAAGAATGAGAGAAGAACCAGAAGAGAACATCATAACAGTCAAAGGTTTGAGAAGAGAAAATCACCACCATTGTCAAATAAGTCCAGCAAGATAAGAACTAAAAAGCATTTCTAAAATATAATAATTAAGAAGTCACTGGAAACATTGGTTGCAGGAAGAGAGTCTCGCTGGAGATGGAGTATAAAGGGTTAAGGGCTGAAGGGGAGCTGAGGACGTGGAGAGAGCAAGACGAGATGTCAATTTCCAAAAACCTAGTCAAGAAGGGAAGACAAGAAGAAGCTAGCAGAGAAAAATGTAAGTCAAGGAAGGGGAAGCAATTATCATGAAGTTCCTGATAGTGAGAGATTGTCATTGATAAGGTAGTAGAGGAGTTTCTGGGCTGCTGGCTATGTTCTCATTCTTGATTTGCATAGTGGCTACACAGTTGTTTACTTGCTCACTTCATAATTACATTATAAATATATATGTAGAAAGGACGTAAATCGTGCATGTCCTTTCTACATGTATGTCATGTTTTGCAATTAAAAAAATGAAATAAATGGAGTCAAGGGAAGTTTTCAAATGGGAAAGACCTAAGCACAGTTTGTGTGTGAGTGTGTGTGTTTTTTTAATGCAAGCAGCATATTTAAATAGGCTCTGAGTAATAAAGGCCATTTATGACAGACTTGCAGGTGACATCATACTCAATAGTGAAAAGCTGAAAGCTTTTCCTCTAAGATCCAGAATAAGGCAAGGATGCCCACTCTCACCACTTCTATTTAACATAGTATTGGAAGTCCTAGCCACAGCAACCAACAAGAGAAAGAAATAAAAGGCATTCAGATTGGAAGAGAAGAAGTCAAACTTTTACTATTGGCAGATGACATGATACCATATACAGAAAATCCCAATAATAAATAAGATTCATTTATTATTAGAACTAATAAATGAATTCAGTAAAATTTTAGGATACACAATTAATATACAGAAATCTGTTGTATTTCTATACACTAATAATGAACTATCAGAAAGAGAAAACAATAAAACAATCCCATATATAAGCAAATAAAAAGAATAATATACCTAGAAATAAATTTAACCGAGGAGGTAAAAGACCTGTACTCTGAAAACTATAAGATATTGATGAAAAAAACTGAAGATGATACAAATGAATGGAAAGATGTTATGTGTTCATGGATTGGAAGAACTAATATTGTTAAAATGTCCATTTTAACTACCCAAAGCAATCTACACATTCAATGAAATCCCTATCAAAATACTCACAAAAACCGACAGAGCTAGAATAAATAATCCTAGAATGTGTATGGAACCACAAAGGACCCTGAATAGCCAAAGCAATCTTGAGAAAGAAAAATAAAACTGGAGGTATCACATTCCCTGACTTCAGACAAAGCTATAGCGATCAAAGAAGTATGGTACTGTCATAAAAACAGACACATAGCTCAATGGAAGAGAATAAAGAGCCCATAAATAAACTCACACTCACATGGTCAATTATCTACAACAAAGAATATATAACAGGGAAAAGAAAGTCTCTTCAATAAGTAGCACTGGGAAAACTGGACAACAACATGTAAAAGAATGAAACTAGACCATTTTCTCATATACAAAAATAAATTCAAAATGGGTTAGAGACTTAATGTAAGACCTGAAACCACAAAACTCCTAGAAGAAAACATAGGCAGTTATCTCTTTGACACTGGTCTTAGCAATATTTTTTTGGATCTGTCTCTCAGGTAAGCGCAACAAAAGCAAAAATAAACAAATGGGACCAAATCAAACTAAAAGGCTTTCAAACAATGAAGGAAACCATCAATAAAATGGAAAGACCGTCTACTGAAAGGGAGAAGATACTTGCAAATGATATATCCAATCAGGGGTTAATATCCAAAATACATAAAGAACTCATACAACTCAACATCAAAAACAGATAAACAATCTGATCAAAAAATGGGCAGAGGACGTGAATAGGCATTTTTCCAAAGAGGACATAACAGAGGGCCAACAGGCACATGAAAAGATGCTCAAATCACTAATCATCAGAGAAATGCAAATCAAAACCATGAGATATTACCTCACACCTGTAAGAATGGCTATCATCAAAAAGACAAGAAATAGGGGCTTCCCTGGTGGCTCAGTGGTTGGGAATCCGCCTGCCAATGCAGGGGACACGGGTTCGAGCCCTGGTCCAGGAAGATCCCACACGCTGCGGAGCAACTAAGCCCATGTGCCACAACTACTGAGCCTGCGCTCCAGAGCCCGTGAGCCATAGCCACTGAGACCACAAGCCATAACTCCTGAAGCCTGGTGCCTAGAGCCGGTGCTCCTCAAGAGAAGCCACCACAATGAGAAGCCCACGCATCACAACAAAGAATAGCCCCCACTCGCCATAACTAGAGAAAGCCCGCGCACAGCAACAAAGACCCAACGCAGCCAAAAACAAAAACAAAAAAGACAAGAAATAACCAGTGTTAACGAGGATGTGGATAAAAGGGAACCCTAGTGCTTTGTTGGTGGGAATTTAAATTAGTGCAACCACTATGGTAGACAGTATAAAGATTCCTCAAAAGATTAAAAATAAAACTGCCATATGATCCACCAATTCTACTCCTGAGTATTTACCTGAAGAAAATAAAAACACTAATTCAAAAGATATATGTACCTCAAAGTTCATAGCTGCATTATTTACAATAACCATGATATGGAAGCAACCTAAGTGTCCATCAGCAAATGAATGGATAAAGATGATTGGAACCCTGGCTGACACCGTGACTGCAGCCTTGTGAGAAACCCTGACCCAGAAGACCCGGCTCAGCTGCACCTGGATTCCTGACCACAGAAACTGTGAGATAATAAATGTTTGCTGCTGTAAGCCACTAAGTTTTGGGGTAATTTGTCATGCAGCAATAAATAATAGGTGGATATTAGGAGAATAATATCAGTGCTATGTAAATGGTTAAAAGCATGGACAATGGAGCCAGATTTCCTGGGTTTGAATTCTTGTTCAACCACCTTGAATAAGTTACTTAATCTCTCCATACCTCACCTTCTTCAACTGTAAAATGGGGATGATAATAATAATACTTAGTTCATGAGGTTGTTAGAAGAATGAACTAAAATAATACTTGTATAGGACTTAGAAAAATTCCTGGCACACAGTAAGTGCTATATAGTGTTTTTTAGAGGAAAAAAAAATTAAAATATATATGCTCCTCTCCTACCACTATCCCATATGGTTGATTTTCCAGTAAATCACCTAATTTAATACTCAGAAAAACTATAGGAAGTATTTTGCCCTGTTTGATAGGTATCCCTACCACTCAGAGGAACAGGTAATAACTTATAGAGTAGAGATTCAAATCCAGGATATGTTGGAGGCTGAAATCTCATGCGTCATAAATTTATTCTGTACTGCCTCCCTAAAATCCACCTTACACTCCTGAGCACCCAAAGTCAGGGGCTATGAAGAGACTTCCATTCATGCAGACAGCAAATAGTTATGGAGTTGTGTTCAGTTAAAGGGTATCTCAGTGAAAACACTCCTGTCTGCTTCAATCTACTTAACTGAACTGTCTGTGAGAATGATGAACAACATGCTAGGACTTGATTTGTAAAACAAAGAAAATATACTGACATATACTAGATGCTCTGTAAGTACTTATTGGAAAGAAAACAAGCTCAGCTAAAGTAAAAAATGCAGATATTTATCCTCTTTAAACTTCAGTAAGAAATACCAGGCATCAATTACCCTTAGTGCTAAAGTTTTTTGACAAGCCTTTTCCATTTTGGAGAAATGTATTACAAAAAAATATTCAGCCAAGCTTAGGGACTACAAAGATGGTTCTATAGAAAAATGTGTGTTATTTCAGCTATCAAATACAACATCTAATCCTATTACAGTGGATATAAAAAGGTTTTCACTGACAGGCAGAATAGTGAAGGAAACTGTGTAGTAACATATTTCCTGCCCTGAAAAGTACAGTGGCCTAGCAACTGCATACAACCTCAGAGCACACTTCTAATACAGCAGCCAGATGTCAAAACTGATATAAACGTTCATAGACCTGTGACAATTTACATCTGCAGCAAGGAAATATTTTCAGTTATGTTCCATTACTCAAGAGCATTTCAGCTTAATAATATTTATCATTATGGGATGTTTAAGACTGGCAGATACATTTTAAGATCACTTTGTTGAAATCAAATCCTCTTGATTGGGAAGGGATTGTCTGTAATGAGCATGCCTTCATTACTCCCCCTGGCTGCTAAGTATCTGGGCAAATGAAGGCCTCTGTAAACTTGACCCTGATATAGTTCAACCCAGAAGATGACAGAGTTCATGCTCAACCCTGAGTAAAACACATCAACAAATCACAGAAATCCTCAATGTCAAAGGAGTTTGCAATATACTAAGCGTATCTTTGCAAGCTGATACCAAGCACAACAAAACAAGTCCCAACTGTATTAGGTTCAGGATAGCCCTGACTTAATCTATCCATTAATTTATTCATTCACTTAGTCAACACACAATTAGCGCACACCTTCTGTGTGCCTGACACCATTCTAGCACTAAAACAAAGAAAAATCTCTGCCCTCTCCAAGTTGTATTTTAGAAGACACTAAAAATAAGCTACATAAATATGTCATGCATTATATGACGACTAACAGCTAGGAAGAGAAAACAAAAAGCAGGAAAGAGGAATACAAAGAGTCAGCAAAGGGAGATTAAATCTTAGAATTTAGAGGGTGACCCAGGAAGGACTCGCTGTAATGGGAATACCTGAGTAAAGACTTCAGGAAGTGAGAAAATGAGCTGTGCGGATAAGTAATGGGAAAAATTTTCAGGTAGAGGAAACGGCAAGTGCGCAGGGCCTGCCACAGAGCACATCTGGAAGATACAAAGAGCAGCAAAGAAGGGCAGTGTAGTTGACAGAGTGAACCAGGGCAAACCTGTGGGAGATGGGGTCTGAGAGGTAATGGAGAGCTGGGTCAGGCAGGACTTCATGGGTTACACAGAGAGAACCAAGGAGTCACTGAAGGTTTGGGGCTGAGGAGGGACGTGACCTGATTTACATTTTAACAGGATCTCTCCAGCTACTGTGTTGAGAAGAGACTGAAGGGGTCAAGAACCAAAAGAGGGAGACAAATTAGAAGGCGACTGCAGAATCCAGGAGAGAGCTGATGATGACTCACTGGAGTAGGAGTGTTGAGAAGTGGTAAAATCCTGGATATATTTGGAAAGCAAGCCAGTGGGATTTGCTGGTTGGTCAGATATAGGATGTGAGAAGTAGAGGTGACTCCAAGATGTTAGGCCTGTGTGTTGACATTGTCAGAGAAGGAAAGACCACAAGAGGTGCAGATTACTGAGCATAATATCAGAGATCTGTTTTTGGACAAATTATTTTGAGATGTCTAATAAACATATGTAGTAGAAATGAGGGCTGTTTGCAAACTTCTGTTTTTTCCTGCGTTTAAGCACTTTAGAGGGGCGTACTCCCCCGTATTCCCTTTGACTTGATTTAACCAAATGAAAAGGGCACAGAAATTACCTCTGTCACTCCTGGTCAGAAGCTTTAAGAGCCAGAATGAGAATAGTCATATCCCCTGCTACTGCCAAGGTGATCAAAAGACCTGAGCCACGAGCTAATCTATATCTCACATGTAGCAAGAGCAAGAATAAACACCTGTGTTAAGACTCAGAGATTTGGAGGGGTTTGTTACCGCATCATACCCATATTATCTAGACTGATACAGTATTCACGTGGAGAAGCTAAGAAGGCAGTTGGATATATGATTCTGAAGTAATGGAGGGATATAATTTAGGCAATTGGTTAATACATAAATGTTATTAAACAATAAGACTGGTTGAGATTAGCAAGGAATCTGGTGATGTTGCAAAAGAGTCTTGGAAAATTCCAAGACATTGAGAAGTGTGGGAGATGAGAGAAATCACATAGATTGAGAAGAACTGGCAAGAAACGAAGAGAAAAGGACATTGGATGAAGTGTCCCAGAAGCCAAATGAAGGTAGTGTTTCCAGAAGGTAGTGTTACCAGAAGGAGACAGTGTCCATTGAATTGAATACTGCTGATAGATCTGAGGATTGAGAATTGACTGTGAGATTTAACAGCGCGAATGTTTCTAATTTGACAAAGCATTTTCGTTAGAGATGACCTGAAATGGCTCCTGTACTTTTGTCCCTGGGAATAAGGCAAAAGGAGTCAATGGCTGAGGTTAGTCTCTCTATGGTGGGTAACACAATCTAATACTGTTAAATCTGATATCTTTATGCAAGGGAGCTAGGTATATTTTTGTTTTTAACAGCACTTAGCAAGTCTTATGTTCCTTGTTCCTATCTAGTCTTGCAATTTAATATCACCAGCTTCACAAGTCACCCTGGAATGAGAGAATACTCCTATCTCTCCGATATCTTTGTTCCATTATTCTCACCCCACTTTACCTCTATACATTCTATCAGTCCCCCTCTGACATTCCAAGAAAGTATAGAAAATGCCTCTTTTTAAAGCATGAATTATTCTCTCAGTACTCGATCTCCACTTCTTTGAACATCTCATTTTAATGCTTATAATATTGTTGCTTATTAAATTATTAATTTGTAATAAACGTCAAAATTCTACAGTGCCCTTAAGTCTTCTCAGACTACAGGAAGCAGATGTAAAAATTAAGTAATAGTATATTTCTGCTTTTTAGCCTGAATATTCTAATGTTGCCTAGCGGTTGGAAGTATTTTAAATTCCAACAAGCACAGTGTTGTCCAAAACTGGCAAAGAGAAAAATGAGGGTACCTTTCCCTCCCTTCCCCCAAAAGCATGCCATGTCCCTTAATTCTGGGCCATAGAAAATACTGGTCCATGACTGATAATGTTCAATTAGTTATTGTAGGAAACAAAGCATCGTGAAAAACATCTATTCTTCAATTTTCCACATGACATTTAAGTACTCTGATATGTCTATGGTGAACAATTTGTTCTTCCACTACATAAATATTTTTCCTCCCTTTGAGTACACAGTATACATCCTATTAAAGAGTAGTTGAGCAATTCAATGGTAAGACATTCATTGTCACAGATATACCATAGTAGATATCCTTTCGGTTATAGAAGCCTCGCTACATTGACATTTATAGGACTAGCTAAAGTAAATTCCTCTTTTTTCCTTTTATTAAGTCTTTAGCTTACTTTGGAGATATTCTTGCAGACTTCCATGTCTCATCAACTCTGTAATAATATAAATAGGATCTTCTAAAGTGCAAACAGCATAAAGCTGGATAAGCTTTGGATGTCTTAGGTTCTTCATTATCTGTGCCTCCCTCAGAAAGTCATTTGGATCCATTGAACCTGAAACAAGAAGAGGGGAAATCACTTTATGTTACTGAGGCATTCCTATCCTCACAGAAGCCTGGTGGGAATCACCAAGATTGCTTCCTGCCTCTCAGTAAAGTAAGAGCATCAGTGTCACAAATCTTCAGATTCATCAAGGAAAAGAATCAGTTCAACCAGGGCAACCTAATAACTGATGTGTTGGTGCACCAGGGCTGTGCAGCTTATGTATTATGACCTGTATGTGAAGAGAGGCTGATTCAGGTCCATGTGAAAAATGAAGGAAAAAGGAAACACTGACAGTCTAATTGATAAACCAGGCAGGCATCTTAGCAACACAAAGAGAAGACATTCTATTAACATGAACACTGGAAGACACTGAATGTTTAATTACTGCAGCGAGTTTTTCTGTCCAGGATGCAGAGAAGACTAATAGTTGCCCTGTCCTTGGTACCCACTGTGGGAAGAGCTGGATAACTTTTCTAAAAAGCAATGATATTCTGCCATATTTATGCCTTTAATTCTGCAAGGACATATATCCATAGTATAGGCCAAGTAGAAAACATTCAAGGGCCACTCCCAAAACTTAGTGTTTTTTTCCTCCTCTTGAAGCTGATATTCAACATTTTCTCCTGTATTAATATCTCCACAGTTGGTTTTAATAGCTTGACCAAATGTTAAGGGAGATATTGGAGCCTATTTTGAAGACTCATCTACAATTAAATTGCACTTAAATGGCCCAACTCTGACTCACCATGCAAAGTGCCAAGTATCAACAGTTAACATCAAATAAAACCTAAGAGAAAGAAGAATACCTGGAGTTACCTTTCATTAGTCATTTAAAGATCTTTTATTTCTTTTAGGATATGATGCTTCAGAGCCATTGTTGTAACTGAAGGAATACTGTCGTTTCACATCTCAGTATTCACTATGGATAGTGCAAATATCATTTTCACTGATGCTTAAAGAGTCTGTTTCGTTCCTCATTCTCTCATATAGAAGACTTCACAGCTAATATTTGAACCCCAGGCATGGATAAGCTTTGGCATTCCAAGCTAACACTCTGACTGTTTATTAATACGCAGTTAGAAAGAGTTACATGTGACCTGCAGATCATTTCACATAAAGCATTTAGGCAATCTATCCTTTGGTATGCCTTTTCAGAGTCTAGAAGTTCACTACCCAGGCTCGATCAAATCCTAGCTCACTGTGTGACCTTGAACAAGTTACCAAATGTCTCTGAACTTCAGTTTCTTCATCTCTAAAACATGGCTAATAATCCTACTGACATAAAATCATTGTCAGGATAATAGCATTGTCTGGTACATATGTGTTCAATGAGCGCTGACTACACTTGTATTATTATTAATAATAGGCATATTCTTAGGAAAACCAGACAGATCAACTGTAAGCATTTCTTCACAGGCTGAGGGGAAGAGGCAAGGACTTACAGAGGGAGAATGGGGGAAATGGCCTACTCTGTTCTCCATCAATTTTTGCTGAGCTCCCTCACTTCCATCTCTACCACTGTTCTGCTCCACATAATCAAATAGGATTAAAGTCTTGAATCATTGTGGCAAAATGGAGCTAAGAATAAAAGAGGCATCCAAACCATAATAAAGAACCGCTTTTGGTTATTATAATTAGTTTGGCCTATGGTTAGTTATGGATATAGTAGGATCATTCCCCCACCCCCAAACAATCTGATTGATGAAGTTTCCAGTGATAGCAGCATTTATGATCTCCATTCAGATGATTTACCTACAATATGTTTCTATGTTGATGCTTTGGGTGGCCGTCAGATTCATGGAATGCAGGACACTTAAATCATTGCCAAATCACACCATCCACTAGAGCTGAAACCATAGTATGTCAGGAGCCTCTGCAGGGGAAGCCTGCTCAGTGCACTCCTTGGCTACGCTGGTTACAGCTGACCAGCTGCACAGCAAAAGAGACCCAATCTCAACTCAGCTAGTAATGCAACATTAAATATTAATTTTTGCCTGTCAAAGCTACTATGGGAGTTGATTTCAGGCTCGTTTTTATTGCGTGGTAGTCTGCTAAGCAATAAATAGCTGAGAAGATTGATTAATGGCCCCAGTGAAGTGAAGACATTTAAGCAATCACCAAAGCTGTTTGCTGCTATTACACTGTAAATCAATAATAATTATTCCTCTTGGAGAGAAAACTATCATGGCGCTATTTTTTAATATAAGAAATCTGATTTTTTGTTCTCTTTTGACCTCCAAAAGGCCTTCCTTAGAGAGCAGTGTAGGATGGATAGCTAGCTGCTTCTTTTTTGGAAAAAAATGATCAGATTGGACAATAAAGTTTAGTCTCAGTTGTTAATAAGATTAGGATTCAAAATAATAATCATACCTGCAGTAATTCTGAAAATCTCAGGTGCTGGGATTGATCATTGTGGTCACTACAGAAAGTAATAATAACACTTGCTTGGTGCCCACACTGGCTGTCCTATGATCTCTTGGACATTTACAGTGGCTAGTTGAGCTTATAAGTATCAACATATGCCATTTAACCTTTGCCATTCTTGTTCTCGTACCTGGTTTTAATGTTTTTACTGCTACCGGAGTGGTATTGTTCCATAGGCCCTCCCACACTTCGCCGAACTGACCAGATCCTAATCTCTTCAGAAGTTGTATGGAGCTGCGGCCGATCTCCCACTGGTCCACGGTTTTATATGACAAATCAAAGGGAGCTGGGACTTGTATCTGCTTCACAGAATAATTAGAATACTGGTAAGAAAAAAGTTATATTCAACAATATTTTGGTTGAAAATAACAGTCTAGGTACTTTTAGAGACATCATTTTTAAAAACAAAATATTGTAAATTTTATCCTAATTACTTTTAAATGGAAAGCAATTGTGGTAGAATCTGTATCTTTGCCTCTTCCAGCTGATCTCCCAAATCCTGCTAAGTCGGGCACCTTGCTGTCCATCTGTCCCACATGACACCCAAATACCTCCCTCTCACCTATGTGGTGGGAGTTCTCTTTGCCTCCTTGCCTACGTAAATCAAGTTTCAAGGCTAAACTGGAGTTCCATCTCATCCACAATTATCTCCCCAACTCTTTGGCCTATAGCATTTACCATACATATCACAAAATTTCTCATAATTAATTTCATCTTTTTTCAAATTCATTTACTTATTTGTTCACTCATTTACTCATTTATTTAATAAATAAATATTTTTCAAGCACCAACTAGGTTCCATTCTGTAAACAAAATAGGCAAGGTCTCTGCTCTCCTAGAGTGCATAGTCTAGTTTGTCATCTGCCTTTAGAAATTTATCTTATCTCCTCCACTAAGTCATCAGCATCTTGAGTGCACAGAAGGTCACCTATGCTTTGTAAACCCTTTTCCCTACCAGAATTCAACAATATTGCTTAAACTAAGAATTTTTAAGTCATATCTTTCTATCAGTTGAACTATTTCTTAGCATAAGCTTAGATACTCTTGTGAGGTCATTCCTGTACCATCTAAGATGTACATACTTATACCAAAATTGCCTATTCACGTCTCAGGATTTAACTCATAAATTCCCTGCATACGGGACAGAATTCTTCAGCTTCTACTTGTCTGTAGAATTCTAATCAGGCATCACAAGGAAGCTTTCACTGGTCATCCAGGTATAAACCACAGGGTTGGCTATACCACTGACAGTACATGAGACCTGAACTCTGATGTGGAGCTGAAGGCTTGCCCCACTGAGGTGTATGACCACTACTTAACTTTAACCACATTTAGGTAAAACATGCAAACAACAGAATTTAATGATAAATATAGATTCATTCTATAAATGTTACCTCCTCCCACTAAACAGCCAGGCCAAACAATCAAACTGTTAGAACAGTTAAATGATATCTATATGCAGACAACCAGATAATGAACCTGGTCATTTCATGTTAATAATCTTGAATACAGATCATCTAAGTAAGAACTGTATTCCAGAACTTTTTTCCCCTCCAGCCATATCATTAAATGCTGCAATAACAAGATACCAGATTAGTTTCTTAGTGCAAAGAATGAATATTTTCTGTGTTCAGTGGTTGCTTGAGGTTGGGACTTGGCAAACTTCTTCTGAAAAGAATGAGACGGTAAATATTTTAGGCTTTGTGAGCCATATAGTCTCTGTTTCAACTATTAAACTCTGCTATTATAGCAAAAAAGCAACGACAATCTGTAAACGAATGAGCATGTCTATGCTCCAATAAGCTTATTTATAAAAATAAGTGTGGGGCCATACTGGCTCAGAGGCCACAGTTTGCCTATCCATGACTTGGGTATTCAATGACCTTTTTTTTCTGAGCTGACATATCACATGACAAATAACTCCAACACCTGAGGGAAAAAAAATTAACTTCAAAAATAAAGGAACACAGCTTGAAAGCATTTCACCTTTAAGCATGGTTTTTCCAGCTGGACACACAGGCCATCACTTGTCTTGGTGTAGTGACTCACGAATTCATTCAGTGTTGAAAAGGTTCTTCTCCGGGTAAGGAAAAAGCCCCCTTCATCTAGTCTTCTGATTCTGTAGTGTTTCACAACCCCATTGTCTAAAACTGGAACCCAAAATAAGTCCTTTTAATAAACTTCTTGCCAAAGCAAAGGAGATTTACTTACTTTGTGATGATAGTTTCAATGCATGGAATAAAATTTTAACAAATTCTATTTATTTCTCAACTTTGTTTCAGAAAAGACTTCAGGAACCTTATAAAGGACATACAGCAGACTAAAAAGGAAAAAAGAATGTGGAATCATATTTTAAAGGAAATATAAAAATAAAAGAGTACAGTTAGCACCAAAAATAAACTCTGATTTGAGGCCTAGTATACTTGTTTAAAACAAGCTATAAAATGGACTCTATCATTCTAGCAATGTAAAGAAGGAAAGAGTTTCAGAAACCACAGTGTTCATAAGATAAAATCACAAAAGATGTTTAGAAACAGTTCTTTCTGGTACAGAGACAAAGGAGAATTTCCTCCCATGAAATTCTATAACATGGACACTAAAATAAAATAAACAGTGCTCTCAGAAAGCAAAATCTATGTGTAGATATAGATATAAATACAGGTAGAGATGGAGAGAGTGAGAGAGGGAGGAAGGGAGAGAGAAATATTATTGAGCCTTAAAAAAAGAAGGAAATCCTGTCATTTGCAACAACATGGATGAACCTTGAGGCTATTGTGCTAAGTGAGATAAGACAGAGGAAGACAAATACTGCGTAGTATCACTTATATGTGGAATCTGTTTTTTTAAAAAAATTAAACTCATAGAAACAGAGTAGAAAAATTGTTGCCTGGGAATGGGGTTGGGGAGAGCAGGATAAGGGAGAAGTTGGTAAAAGGGCATAAAACCTCAGCTATAAGATGAGTAAGTTCTAAGCATCTAGTATATAACATGGTGACTAAAGTTGATAACACTGTATGATATAGTTGAAATTTGCTAAGAGAGTAAAACTTACATGGTCTCACCAAAAACGGAGAGAAATATGTGAGGTGATAGATATGTTAATTAACTTAATGTGGGGAGGGGGAACCCTTTCACAATGTATATATATATTTCAAATCATCATGTTGTACATTTTAAATACCTTTTTATTTTATTTGTCAATTATACCTCAATAAAACTAAAAAAAAAGCATTTCATCTGCATACAGGAGAATATTTTATTTTCGGTTCTTTATAATAAAATGCAGAAAACAGGCAAATATTTAGCTCCTCCAAAAGTAATATAAGGTTCTTAAATTACAATTTTTTAAGTGTCTGGAACACATCCTTGTACTCTCTGATCTGTCAAATTACCATTCCCACTGACTATAACTCTTGGGGCAGTGTTAATTGCCTTATATAATCATCACCAAAAAGAGGGGCTTTATTAGGATACAGAGCTAAGCTCATTACAGATTCCATTTATGGATTAAAAGGTTAACAAAAAAATCAAAGAGAGATGTAAATAATATTAGCCCCAATTCATTTCTCCACAAAGTAATAAAAATATTAGAAGTAGAAAGGTAGCTAAGTATAAATTATACCTGCAATTTATATAAATTGTTGGCCTGAAAATTCGTTTGCCATTTATCAAAAAGAAAAGTGCATAAAGTATGACTGAGATGTCTAGCAAGCCAATAGATCTATAATTGGAAATGATGGGAAGCAATAAAAAAATTCTCCTTTTTTAATCAAGATGGACCATATCTGGTTCCAAACTGAAGTGGACTACATGGAAATTAAACTTAGGCATTCCCTTTTAAAGCATCACAAAAGACTTAATGATTTCTAAGCTAGAAACTAAAGTCAATAGATGACTGAGAGGTTAAAATACTCTGTGATTTTCTTAATAAGGGATGCAAATCCCAATGATTGATATGGCTTTGGCAATTGCCATTGATCATAAAGAAAGCCTAAATAAATGTTTGCCAACTATTTGTAGATAAAGGTTTAAACTCTCAACTGTAAAAACCAATACTTTCAATACATCTGGAGTTGTCAAGCACAATAAAGGTAATTTTGTTTAATAGAAAAAAGCTATAGACAGGAAGATGGGAGACCCAGGTTACAATTTAACTAGTATGTGACCAAAACATGGGAATGTCACTGGGCCTCCATTTCTTCATCATTAAAAGAGCAGGCTTTAAGAAAACTCCAAATTTCCAAATGTTTCCACTCTAATGTTCCAACATTTCTAATGGCTGTTGCTTTCTCTCTCTGAATTCTCATTTCTTTCTGTAGTGCTTTCCGAAAACTACAAATTGTGAAAACTACACATTACCAAAAAAAAAGTAATTCTCACCTTGGAGCCTTGAACACCACTTGAATGCTTTTTCTATGAATTTTCTAGTAGCCAGCCCCTCTTCAGGTCTCAATTTAAATCCTCAGAACCAGCCTTCCCCATCACCCTGTTGCACATACTCCTCCCAGCTCCTTTCTATCACATTACCCAGTTTAATTGTGATGGTGGATTTATCTCAGTGGAGGCGGCTCTGTGAAGGGCAGGGACTCTGTGTCTTGAACTAATACCTACTCAGAGCCTGACACAGAGTAACAACTAACATAAACATCTGCTAGATGAATGAATGATGTCACTAACTCTTGGATTTGAAGAGAAATGTAAGCTTCTGAAATGTCTGCTGCAAAATTAAACAGGTAATTATACAATACTTTTAAGTCAAGTCTTCCCTGGAATTTTACTTTTAAATAGAGGAAGACAAACTTAGCCCCAGCATATAAATAGTATTAGAGGACAGTCATTCATGTTTATATCTAATTTCTTGAGCTTTGCAACATAACACAGGAATAAGTACTCCATCTCTGACCAGCATTATAGATTACTTATATGCAGTTCATTTAAGTTTTCAGTCTAGCCAAGACTGAAATATATATAGATATATATATATGTGTATATATAGATATATATAATTTTAAAATTAGATCACAGAAGCTACATCAGGGAAATTCAATACACCATAGTCAGGATGAAGGCACTTTTAATATTGTATTCCTGAGTAATCAAATCCAAAATAAGTGGGGTTTTTTTAAGTGATTTTAATTTGATAGTAGTGAGTCCACACATTTGCAAACTGTCATTCTTAATAAAGATTGAATTCAGAAGGTCTCAGAACTAAGGAGAAATGAATTTTCTATTCCTTTTCTGGTTTGCTTTGATCTTTATTATTGAACCAAACCTATTCCAAATTCTACAGGCTATAAGTGAATGATAATGCTTGTGCCATTCTTACTGTGAATTACTATGAGTTCAGATTAGTTAAGCATTTTAGTAGTTTAACTGCAAAACATGTAAACATTATATAAAATATAATGGAATCATCTCTCAACAAACTCAGTAGTATCACAATTGAATGAATTGAGCTACTAAAAGCCAGGCATCCTGAGTTTGAGTTTACATCTTGACTCTCATTTATGCTGTTTGACCTAGGGGAAAATGTTTCACCTGTCAACTGCTTAATCTACCAGAACATGTCCAAGAATTAGGATATATTGCAGAGATGCAGGTAAGTATGTATGAGGAGTACAATAAAGGTTTGTTGAACATTGAAAGAATTCAGCTATTTCTGCCCATGACCTTCTATAAGGACCATGGCACTGGTCACCTGATTATTTGGCCACCTTCACATCCAGGGTAACTGATTCTGCGGGAACGCATGTGATATAGATGGAGTCTTATGATTTCAGTCCTAAATGCCAGGCCCAAATGAATTTAGAAGGAGTTGGTGGCAGACGTAGAAGCCCAGCTTTCTCCTAATGGTGAGATCTTATCGTATAGTCTCTGATGATAGAAAAGAGTTTGTCTACCACTGCACAAAGGTGTGAGATTTCATCAAAAAAACACCTTCAAAGAGTTTTTTCCCTCAATTTACCACACGACTAACTTATTCAGAACATATTAATTATAATATTCCAAAATTAAGTTTTTAAAAGACAGAACCTCCAGAAATTGACTAAAGTTAATTTTAGTACAATATAAACATTAAGTTAGAGGCTATGTCTGTAAAACACGAGACAACCTATTAGGCTTAGTGAAAAATATCAGTATAACAAGTAGTTTGGCATTTTACAGATAAATGATTGAGCAGATTTTCATTTTTCAGCTAGTCTTCTGGCATCATCTGGGCACAGCCTTATTCTGACTGACTGAAAATAATCTGTTCCCATACTCGGTAAAACAATATGACTTAGATGATTGAGCAAAGGATTGAAAATCAAGAACTCACTGCCCTAATCTAATTCTCCCAGTGATTTGTTCTTTGACCTTTGGCAAGGAATTTCATTTCAGTTTCCTTATCTAGAAAATGAAAATAATGATCTTATCTATATACTCTCACAGGGATAGTTTGAGTGTCATTATTCACAAAGGATGATAAACATTTCTAAATGTGCAATGTGTGAGTACTATACTAGAATATCAGTATTATCAAATAGCATTGTCAACAAGAGAGCCACTTCCAAAGTAAAAGTTCCTCTCTTTGCACAATAAAGGCTACATAACATAGTGGCTACCAAACATATTAAGTGAAGAAACTGCCATTAATTCTGTGTGAGAGAACTCCTACATATGTAAACTCCTGTTTATTTGATTTCTCTTTGGAAGGGTGGTTTGTATTTTTCAAAACTATTATAATCATGATAACACCTCCTATACCATTGCTTTAGAAATCATGTTAAGATAGTTCTACACCAGTAAGTAAATAACATTAAATTGAGTTATTACACTGTATCCCCCGTTAAAACAGAATCTAACACACACACCCATTTTACACTGTTTTGTTCTACAGCAAACAGAACAGAATTCCTGTATGAGTAGTTTTGAAAGAAGAAATTACACCTGTCTCAAAATATTAAAGTGGTATCATGTAGAAGACTTGTTCTTTTCTGATGAAAAAAAAATCCACTAAACTAAAAGGAACAAACAGATTTGACTCTCTTCATGCATAAAACTCAACTACTGGGTCCCCAAGGTCACCTGTCTCCCAGCCAGGCATATTCAGTGTGCTATGGACATCAGTCAGTAAGTCTGACTACTAAACTGCTAGGTTAAGTGAAGA